AGATTAATTAATTAATTAAAATGCTTAAATTGTATCTTAAATTTACTTTTTACGTATTTCCGGTATGAAAATGAAAAATATATTTATTAATCCACTTTAAACGAACAAGACAGTACAGGATTAAGTATTACACTTATGTGATAGAACCAAATCATATTTAATGAAAAACAAATACTCTTACAAAAAATCATTTAAGAATCCAGTACTGCCACTTTTGAAATCGCCTATAAAAACAACCTGGACCAATAAATTCATTGCCCAAGTCGAACCTGATTCGGAGCATTTTTTACAATGATTCTATAATTTGAGCTTGGAGTTGGAGTGGCTGGCGGTCACACAACAAGAGCGAAACTTAACATGTCCACTGCAACTAGATTCAGACTAACTTATATCTTGAATAAAAACACTATAAAGAAGCCTAACGCTATGGAAGAAAGCGCCGACCAAATCTCACCCAAATCCCCTTGCACCGGCATTGTTGTGCCACCGAACTCTCTTTGCGTAAATAGGAGGAAAGCATTCTCATTCTTCTTCAGTTCAAGAATCGACTCTATTGACAGTGTTCCCATTAAATTCTCAGTTCAAACTCTGTCGCGCTTTATTTCCACGGGGTTAGCTTCTTATATGTTTTTATTCAATGCTTATATATTACCAAGCATATACAAATTATAATATAAAATATAATAAAATAATAAGACTAATTTACTAACAACATTATCAAAGAACCTGCTAACGTCATTTCTAGTAGAAACTCTTCAAAATCAATTTGTCAGATGGCTTTTAGGTAGGCCTTGGAAAATTAAACAAATGAAACACGATGCATTATAAAATAATAACAGCCGTAATTTGTAAATTATTCTGCTGTGTTTACAATCAGAAAGTGCAGTTTTTTGGATTTGTAATCTTTTCTAAAATGCCGATTTCTAATCAAGAAGCATTTAATATGCTGGCGATATATTTTGAGTATTTTCAAAATGCGACCATCGCTACCCACGTCTTCTATTTGCGTTATCCGAATTGACCACGAACCATCGCCGCCAGCATATAAATGCTTCTTGGTTAGAAATCGGCATTTTAGAAAAGATTACAAATTCAAAAAACTGCATTTTCTGAATTCTTTATTCTTTAAATAATCCAGCAATTATAGTATAAACTATATCAGTGTCGTCAAAGACTATAAACTAGTGCATCTACCAACAGAGCAATTTACACATATAAATAAAATAATAAGAGGTCAAGTTAAAATACAGTAAAACACACAGACAAAATATCACAGAATATTAGAACACCAATTAGTAAGTAGAAACTCTTCAAAAGTGTAAAACTAATCACAGCATTTCTTAATTTACTCCTATAGGCAATGTTTTTAAATTCAAGGGTACTTTGTTATAAAACTGTAACTGAAAATGTATACACAGCAGAATAATTTACAAATTACGGCTGTTATTATTTTATAATGCATCGTGTTTCATTTGTTTAATTTTCCAAGGCCTACCTAAAAGTGTAGGGTGCTTTTCTTTCGCGCCATCGACAAATACCGGAAATACGTAAAAAGTAAATTTAAGATACAATTTAAGCATTTTAATTAATTAATTAATTACTCTCATTTTCCCAATATTTGAGGTTAGGAACCAGATTTTGAAAAACGATTTTCACTGGCCTCTTTGGGTGTTATTTGGCTACTCTTTCATAAATAAAAGTTAAAGCAGGTTATTGCAAAAACGCCCCACGCCATCTTTGTTTTTGAAATAACTGAGTTTTTGTTTTTACGAAAATGATAGATAAACCGGTTCTCTTTAAAAATGTGAAAAAAGAATGTTTAGTTTATTATGCGAAATTTAAAGAAAATGCACTTTTAAAGTTTAAGATGGCAGCTTCGCCCTCTGGTGGTCATTTTTAGAACTTGAAAATATTTTCCAGCGATTCTTCATGACCGATTTACCGAATAATTTTTTTTACCCCTTAGTCATACGACGAACGGTTCCCGACATATGGCCGAGGAACAGTCTTATTGGTTCACCCGGTACAACTCGTTGAATCTCTTCACCAAGAGGATCAACTTTCCAATACTGTCCATTGTTGACGATCTGATGCGATTTTGTCATCGAAGGCGACTGCCATCCCCTTGTCTTTTATTTTTCCCACAGATAGAAGGTTCATTCGCAGATCTTGAACCTAGAACACGTCCTGAATTTTAACGTCCTAGACTTTTCCGTCAAAATCCGACTTAATCTCCACTATCCCTCTTTTATCTTCGTCGACGAATTGGTGGCGAGTTTTAACTTCATTCTATTTGTATTCTGTAGCGTGACCTCAATGCACCAATTGCTTCTCTCATATTTGAGAAATCCTCCAAAGGCTTCTGGTATTACTACTTCAGGATACGTCGCTGTAGCTTCCACATCCACATGTATACGTTTACCTTGGTTGCGTTGTTTTTCTTCTCTTTCTTGTTGCAAAATTTGGCCATGTGTCCTTCTTCTCATTTTTCCCCAACTTGTCGAAACTCTTTTTTGCAACCATGGCATTTTAAATTCCTGTCTCTGTGCTTCCTTGAATCAAGGCATTCAATGATCTTGATTCTCAGTTTCCTGGGGTGAGACTTCAGCGTTGTACAAAGTACCTCGAAACTTGGTAGAAGACTCAGTAAAACGAGATAAGAATACTTAGTTATTTTCATAAAAGTCATGAAAATGACACATTACTGGCGAGGAAATATTGAAGGCACCTTGGGGGCCGAGTACTTTAATTTCCGAGTCAAGTAATGCCATTTTACTGACGAGTTTTGTATTAAATTTTACTCGAAATCGTATTTTAGTATAACATTTCAATTTGTATATAAAACTTTTGATTAATGTCAATCTGTCAGTGACGACAGGTGTCATTATAGACATTAGAAATGTCACAAATGCGGCCTGTAAAGTGACGGTGCGGCCGGTAAAGTGATGGGTGCGGCCAGTAAAGTGACAAGCGGCAGGAAATGTAGTCTGCTCTGCCTCTGTCATGGAAACTCAAATTTCCTTACAGAAAGTAGGCATGAAAATGAAGGTTTCAGGACGATTTTGGGTAAAATAATTTCTTACTGATCTCCAGTGACAGTTCCTTGAGTTTTTGCCATGTTATAAACAGGTCATTTAAATGTTTTCTCATATCCTCTTCCTCCTTTAGTCTCGTTACTACAAACTTTCTAATCAGCATTGATTTTCTTAGTGATCCCTGTGTCAAGTGAATTCTCTGCAGTTTCTTCCACATTTCTTTCGAGGTCTGACATTCATTGGTTAACTCACCAAGGATTGCGCATCTTCATCTTTTTTTAACCAAGTTTTTCTTTCAGCCATTGACGTTGCTGTCGGAATTCCATTTTCTCCGATTTGAAGTTCTGGATTCACTTTTTAACCTGACATGTATTCCCATAGGCCATTTGACGACACCGTGAACGACAATTTTCGTGTATCAGTGATTCAATCTTCGCTGATTCGTACAGTGTCATCCGTTCGTTCGTCCAGTCACTAATTCACTTCCACGTTATGTGACGCTAATAAGGTACGATAATGAAATTAATAAAAACGAATAGAGGGCACCAATTAAGCGTGTTCGACAAACAAATTTGCGGAAGAAGCCCCAGTCGGGAGAGAAAGTAATATTTCTCACTCTTCTCTTTGTTAGCGATTACCGATTAACTTCGAACGCTTTTTCCATGTAGAGAACTACTGCTATTATGGTATAATTAAAAACGCATATATAATAGTAGTACATCATTGTTTAACGTTTATTAAATCGTGGAAAAATAACATAACCTCTTAAGAAATTAAAGGTCGCACTCAGGAATTTTAAGTGCACCATTACCAACTGAAAAGCAATATGAAATTGAACTTTTAAGATTGTTGAAAATTTAGTGCTTCTTTCGCAATTTTTTGTATTGAAAACATTTAACATTTAGCCATTTTTATTAATTTCATGATCATACATGGGGGGCTTATTAGCGTCATGTACCCCACTTCCACAATGTTCTTGGACCCATAACCTCCTGAATATTACAGTAATCCAGTGTATGAGTAAATGTACAGGACACAGTGAAAGAACACGTTCAATTAAATATAATAATTCAGTGACTACTAACTACGATCAAAGTCCACTTATCAGCCTTTTAGCAAATTCTCTTTAACAATAATTAAGAACAATAATGACCCATATTAATTTTAGAACGAGGGGGCGGAGACGCTAACCACCTGCATATCCCGAAAATAATGATTTTACTTTTTTGTATTCACGTTTTTTTTCTGCATCATCCACGTTTACCTTCTGTTCGAATCTCTGCCGGCTTTGACAATTCAAGCGCACTAAACCCAGGTATATTGGAAGTCTTGGCTTGTGTACTCTTTCCAGCCTCGTTTATAACTCGGGCCTGGAAAATTGCAAATCCTTTTTGTCATAAAATTGGTCAGGTAAAACTTAAGCCGCAAGTCCCGTCTGAAATTGACAGTTGGAAGCTTCTTTTCTCCTTGCCTTCTCACCTGTTTACAGCACACGTCCCTATTTTATTGGCATCGGAAATGGCTGCACAATTTTTCCGTGTTTCTAAATATACGAAAGGCGCCACGAAAATGTGTACCATTCGTGCGTTGAACGGTTATAAATAAATGAAATATGTTATAAGCGCTGAAGTGCGAAATTAGATTCGATCGGCTCGATTTCAATCAATCCATCAAAGTCGTGCGAAATGTTAGCGTGTAATTTTTTAAGCTTATCGGTCATAGACGTTACGTAATCATAATCAATTACTATTAACCTTTCCAAACCACTGAGGTGATAACAGATGGAAGTGATGACCTTTAATCTGGATGGGAGGAGAAAATGATCTCAACTCTATCAATCAGTCTCTGCCCTTAACGCGACAATGGGGCGTAGAGACAAGACACGCGAAATCGATTGCTTGTTAGTAGTTTGCGTGCCCTATCTGGAAAACTCTAATCTCATCGAGCCCTTTTTTTTTGTTACAGCCGACGACACAGAGGCACAACGATAAGGACAACAACAAAGATGACAGACTATCGAATAATAACATTAAAATCTCTCCCATCGCGACCCCATCGCAACAAACACCGCCGGCGTCCCCGCAGCAGGCGATCGCATCGAAGCGACTACTTCAAGACACTCTGGCCCGCTCCTCACCCTATCCCATGATAGTTATTCCCGATAAGGGTTACTGGATCGATGGGACCGATCACGAATGCCATTACGACCATAGGGGCCAGCCCGTTATACCTCACGGAACGTGGAGGGCGAAAATTGAAACCGACGATACGGCTAAATGTTATCGGAGATTTTTTGTCGGAAGGGTAAGTTAATTTCAACTATTTAGTGCCCGTGCGTGACTCTACGACCTATAAACTAGCTTTTCAATAATTTAACTATCAAAGTATTTTTAGTATTCCGTTTGGCAATCGGCCAAGCATTCGTTTTTCCATCAAGTTGTGTTTACTTTATCGTAATTAGCTTCTTTCGAACTAACTTTTTTTATTGCACTCGGTGCACTTTAAAGATCTAAGTATAAAGATCGTGTGACAGTCGCTTTTAGAAATTTTCAGAAAGTCGTATTTCAGGTCGTGGGATTAAATGTGACATTTTTCGTACACTAGAATGTTTTGTTATTAAACTTTACGTCAAAACTTTCCTCCTTGTAATTTGGGATCTTAGCGTAAACGTTGACATGCAATCTCTTTTATGATCGGGTATTGGCTTTTTAGGTTTAATTTTCCGGTGACTAGCTTTTGCCTTGTAAATGTCAAACTCTGGATTATAATTTAAAGTGAAAAGGAAGAGTGCGACGTCGTTTTGTAATTGTGAAACCCCTTCAGCCCTTCGCGAAGCCCTTCATAAAGAAGTGTCTTAAAGTTTTAATGCGAAAAATTTGAAGAACTCGAAGAAACGGAAAAATCCAAAGAATTTTGATAATCATATGGATCTCAAGAATTTGCAGAAGAATTAGAATTAGAAGATTCGAATGGATTCTTAGAAATCGGAAGAATCATAAGAATCTGAATAAATGAAAAATTAGCAAAAGAAGTAGAATATAAAGAATAATCTGGAGAATGGAGGAAGTGGAATCACATTAAAGAATTCAAAAGGCTTCTGAAGCTGCAGAATGGGAAAAACTCGAAGAAATGAAACATTTTGAATAATCTGAAGAAACAAAGAAAAGTATCTGAAGTATTTAAACGTTGGGAAAAATCGCTATAGAAATCTTCTTGAAGTATCAGGGTTTATTAAAATGTTATTGTGGTTTATTGGTGTTTTTGTTACCTATACCATTTTGTAAGACGAACCGCAAATTTTTTACGGGATTTCATCCGCTGGACAGTCGCTATTTTTTCGGTAGTACTACAGATAAATCTAAATCTAAACATAAAAAACATGGGAATCTGGCACTTTTTTGGGTGTTAAAAGGAATTGCGTACATTAAGGGCGAATTTCTCCCCTCAGATGACTAAATATTGGCGTTTCTTTTATCGATTACGTTGAAAAGGTTCACTATCACCCTCTAAATCTTCAAAAAGATGCACCCCGTTGCCATTTTGATAACCACGTAATTTAAAATAAAATCGATCTTATTTAAAAGGCACTTTCGAGTGCACTTTGGAGGAGTGTAACTTCTGCAATGCACCAAATATTTTTGTTTCTTTGATCGATTATGATGAAAAGATTCACTACCAACCCTATAAACCCCTAGGAAGATGTACCCCTTCGCACTTTTTGATATTAACGTAATTTGTTTTTAAATTCGATTTTAAAAATGTCATGCACTTCGAAGGGGTGTAACTTCTGCCGTACACAAAATATTTTTGTTTCTTTGATCGATTATGATTAAAAGATTCACTACCAACGCTATAAACCCCTAGGAAGATGTACCCCTTCGCCATTTTGAATATTAACGTAATTTTTTTTTAAATTCGATTTTAGTTAAAAGTGTCAAGCACTTTGGAGGGGTGTAACTTCTGCAATGCACCAAATATTTTTGTTTCTTTGATCGATTATGTTTCAAAGGTTCAACCCTATAAATGCGCAGGAAGATGTACCCCTTCGCCATTTTGATATTCACATAATTTTTTAAGAAAATTCGAACTTAGTTAAAAGTGTCATCCACTTCGGAGGGGTGTAACTTCTGCAGTACACAAAATATTTTTTTTCTTTGATCGATTATGATTAAAAGATTCACTTCCAACTCTATAAACCCTTAGGAAGATGTACCCCTTCGCCATTTGGATATTAACGTAATTTTTTTTTTAAAAAGTGTCGGAGGGGTGTAACTTCTGCAGTTATTTTTTTTCTTTGATCGATTATGTTAAAAGATTCACTTCCAGGAAGATGTACCCCTTCGCCATTTGGATATTAACGTAATTTTTTTTTTAAATTCGATTTTAGTTAAAAGTGTCAAGCACTTTGGAGGGGTGTAACTTCTGTAATGCACCAAAAATTATTGTTTCTTTGATCGATTCTGTTTCAAAGGTTTACTATCAGCCTTATAAATGCGCAGGCAGATGTACCCCTTCGCCATTTTGATATTCACATAATTTTTTAAGAAAATTCGAACTTAGTTAAAAGTGTCATGCACTTCGGAGGGGTGTAACTTCTGCAATGCACCAAATATTTTTGTTTCTTTGATCAATTATGTTTCAAATGTTTACTATCAACCCTATAAATGCGCAGGAAGATGTACCCTTTCGCCATTTTGATATGTACGTAATTTTTTAAGAAAATTTGAACTTAGTTAAAAGTGTCATGCATTTCGGAGGGGTGTAACTTCTCAGTGCACAAAATATTTTTGTTTCTTTGATCGATTATGATTAAAAGATTCACTACCAACCCTATAAATGCGCAGGAAGATGTACCCCTTCGCCATTTTGATATTCACGTAATTTTTTAAATAAATTCGATCTTAGTTAAAAGTGTCAAGCACTTTGGAGGGGTGTAACTTCTGCAATGCACAAAATATTTTTGTTTCTTTGATCGATTATGATTAAAAGATTCATTACCAACTCCATAAAACCCTAGGAGGATGTACCCCTTCGCCATTTTGATACTCACATAATTTTTTTAAGAAAATTCGAACTTAGTTAAATGTGTCATGTACTTCGGAGGGGTGTAACTTCTGCAATGCACAAAATATTTTTGTTTCTTTGATCGATTATGATTAAAAGATTCACTACCAACCCTATAAATGCGCAGGAAGATGTACCCCTTCGCCATTTTGAATATTAACGTAATTTTTTTTTAAATTCGATTTTAGTTAAAAGTGTCAAGCACTTTGGAGGGGTGTAACTTCTGCAATGCACCAAATATTTTTGTTTCTTTGATCGATTATGTTTCAAAGGTTCAACCCTATAAATGCGCAGGAAGATGTACCCCTAATGAGATGCAATTGTGCCTGGGGTTCAACAAATTATCCATAACTAGACGTAAAACCGTCCATCCGATCGGTTTCTTCAGATAACGGAATAATTGTTGTAATTTGTCGTCGTTAATTTAAAAACTAGTCGCGCTAAGTACAAGGGGTCGTTATAACCCGCGTACTAACTGTTAGACTATTTACGGGTAGAACTCGTAATTAAAACCAGAATTTCGGTGTACTTAATTGGATTAACGACTTTGTAGATGTCGCCGTCGCGTTTCCGTAATTACGCAAGCCTGTCGCTAATGATAGGCTTGCCGGAGTTTGATTTTCGCCATTTGTTTCTGACCCAGTTTTCTTTGTGGAGCACCTCGTCGAAAAGTATCCAATTAGTGATCCGATCGTGATTCTCGCAGTGACACTGCTGGCCTGATCGTGCGAACTTAAGACAATGTTCCGTTACTAGCATCCAATTGAACGTTATGTTCTACTAACGCTCATCCTTCGACAATTAGTGCAGTAATTCGTGTCGGTTATGGAGACGAATTAATTGATAAAGGTGTCGAAACCTGCCTTTTCCCATCGAGCCGTTTTAATAACCCGTTGCAGGTCTGTCTGATGTGTAAAATTTAAAATGCAAGTTCTCGAGTTTCCCATGTTATCCTTACAGTTCAGTGGCCATGAAGGTCTTGTACATTCATGCCGACTTTTGTGATTTTCATTAAGTCGGCATAACAAAAATTACGAAATGTCGTGACATTTAAGCCTATACGATACTTGGTTTATTACTTTCTTGCATCACTCGAGGTTACGACATGCCAAGCAGTTTTGACATCGCAGATTTTTCTTTAATTCAATGGATTTAACCGTGACTGATGGTAGTGCAATCAAGGTTCTCGCACTGCTTCATCTCACCACCCAAGGTCTCTTTTCTTTCTTCTCGTTACACACGTCAGTCGGATTTTGCCTTTCTTCATCCTTCGATAATCTTTTGACGCGAACTACCCCTGGCCCTGGTAGAAAGAACAACAGAAAATAGTGGGACACTGATCAACACTTGTAATTTGTAACAGCAATGGCCAGTTCAGAATTCACCCCAAAAACCGAATTATTTTAAAATTTCTGTAGGCTCCTTTGTTGCTCAAAACTAAATCTGACCCCTCTTTTCACGCCGCCGTCTTCACAGTCAGCAAGACCAAATCGGTGGTTCAAGATCAAAAATTCAACTCGAACTCTAACTTGCGGTAGATTTCATTATCAAGGGCATTACTACGAAAAGATCTACGGCGTGCAGCTGTAAGCCTGATAAGAAGTGGATATCCGCAATTCAAATCGGAAGAGTAACTGAATTAATGAGAAGATCGAAGGTTAGAATAATGAATATCGCGACAGTAATATTTTAAGATGAGAAAGTCGGAATGGATTAGAAATCTTCTTAGAAAGTTGTCCGTAATCTGAGTTTGGCACGAAGTTCATATTTCAAAAATTTCGGTCGAAACTAATTATACAAAACGCATCACACTTTGAAGTAGTTTAACACTTCGGCGATAAAAATTAAAATAACCGCTTTATTAATGACGAACAGGTTCACTGTCACTATTTCGATGAACAATATCTGGAAGTAAAAAAAGACCATTACGTCTTCTGATGTTAATTTTGGATGATCTAAGTTTAATTAATTCTAATGAAACGTCGCGGGAGTTAGAAAAATATTAGCTTAACGTTGATGGATGTCTATTGGTATTAGCGTTCTCGTACACTCAACTTTCACCCCCATTTGACCGCAGATGCAAAAATGCACTCAAAATTGCTGCCATTTGTCACTCATTCAGGAAATTCTAATAATTAGGAAAAACTCTTGAATTTGTGAATGAGGAAATTGTGGCATTTCTGGCAACTATTGAGTTCAATTGTTGCGTAGTACCTGTGTGACTTTGTAACATGGGGTGG